ACACGGTGTTGCAGTACGCGTGAGAACCCTTACAACATTCAAGAAAGCGTTTCGAAAAAACGCTTCACACCGTGAACGACCTCCCTTGCACAGAACATGAAATGAGGTTCCTCGAAAAGCACACGTAGTGATGCACAAATCATCTTTTTGAAAGGCTATCCCAAAATACGGGCTTTTCCTTGTCAGCCACTGAAGAGAGTTCAAAGCATTGAGAAGGTGCAAGTTACGGAAACTCAAACCATATCTCGATATTTTGTTTCAGATGGTCGTCCTTGAGCTCCTCATTCCTACAGCAGAGCACGAACGCGGTATTTGCGAGCACTTTTGGAGAGTAGCCACGAACTACCATACCTACTTGAAGATGATCACATGTGTGAGGATTGCGATAGGCGCCAAGCGATTCTGGCCCGGCAAGATTAGGATATTGAACAGAGCCCCATGGTTTTGTGCGGGATGGTTGGATCTCAAATCAAACGTGAGTCAGTGGATATGTATAACTCTAGATCACTTCATTATATAAACCAGAACTTTGGTGTGTCGGTTTGTCGGTGTGTGTGTCGTTCTGTCCGTCCGGACCGACCGCTCACAAAACCAGGGAGTACGAAGGGCAACACTTCGTGATGTTGATGTCATGATCATGATAAACACCCACAGCGGCTATATAAACACCGATCGAGCACACTCAGTCTCATTCTACATGATGGTGCTGGCAGCTCGGGATGGGGGAGGAAGGGTGAGGGAGCTAGAGGGAAAGGGCAAGAGAGGGGAGGCTGAAAGGGAGGAAAGGGAGAGAGAAAGAGGGAGGGGAGGGAGAGGGGAGAAAGGGTGGGAGAATACGACGCTGTCATGCGCTGAGAGGGAAGGTGGGGAGGAGAGACTGTGAGAGACCGTTAGAGCAAGGTCTATATTTCATGATGACGTATTATTCTAACCTGATGCGGTGATTGTGATAACACCCACAATGACTACAAAAACACCGAATCGAGCCCACTCAGTCTCATTCTACATGGTGCTGCCGAGGCAGCCGAGTTCGGCGGGCGGTAGAGGGGAGGGGGGAGGGGGAAAGCAGAGACGGGAGAGGGAGAGAGAAGTAGGGAGGGAAGGGGGAGAGGAGGAAGGGAGGGAGAACCACGGTAGAAGCGAAGCGAGTTCCTCTTTAACACGTTGACGACAACGCGCGTTTTGGGTTTTTGCGCCGCGTGGGACCACGGCGATTTTGCAGGCGCCGCCGCCTCACATCAAATCCGTGAATTTTGAGCTTTAAATACCCAAAACTCGGATGCAACAAAATGTTTAGAATGATATTCGATGTGTCAAACTTATCAGAAGGGACAACTGTAAAAAATCGATCGAATTGACGTTTTCTGGCGATGAAAGGCAAGTTTCAGTTGCTTTTGCTGCAGTGAACCTCAAAATTATTTTTGACGCGGTTGCTCCACTAAAAACATATGTCTTGCTATATGTGTGGGTCTGTACTTACTTCTACTGCTCTTTTTTATGACCAAGATTATCAGAATATAAAGGAAACTAGGAATGAACACAATTGGGAAATTCGTAGGGCTTAGAAAACCTTCGCTAAAAAGGAGCATATTCAACCATTCAATGAACCTCGCCGTGTCTAGTCATATTATGGTGTAGTCTATGGAATAGATGCAAAAAATTAGAAAAGAAGTAGCGCATGCGCGAAAAAAATAAATATTTTGTGTGTGCAGCGCATGCGCTGCACACGGTCCCACACGGTGCTCAAGGTGTGATGCGCATGCGCTGCACAATGTCGTCAACGTGTTAAAAAGAATTGCCTGCATTATGACATACAGTAGTGGCCAGAAATTTATGAACAAACGGTTTTTTCATGATTTCTCTTTTGAAAGTCACTGAACGTCTCCAAATTTGCAACAATTATTAACTACGTGTTTTATGATCCACACAGAAAATTTCAACCTTCAGCTCAAATTTGGGTTTAGAAAATTTTAGATTTTTCGAAATTAATGAAGGCAGGTGAAAGATCACTTGATCCGTTTATTTGATTTAAATAATGTATAACCCAACAGAACAGTCAAGTAAACAGTCACTAACATTAAGCAAGTCTAGCACATTGCCCAGAACTCTCTAAAGTATTGGATACATAAACTGGATTTGAATGCGGGGTCAACTAATGAACTCACTCTCTAGTGGGGTCTCTCTCTGTAGTCCCGTCTTTTCGTGGCTCTTTCATTGACATACGAATTTGTAGGTCCTCCCCTAGTGGTTCTGTAATGTTTGGCTCAAGAGTCTGGCCTGGCTGGTCTTTTAAAAGCACCCCATGCTGTCGAAACCACTCCTGCATGTGAGAGGCCCGATGCTTTGAGTCGCTGCTCTGCTGACAGACAAAGCCAGGTCGTGTGGCAGCCATGTCTACGGATACATAACATCTTCTAGAATCTAAGTCTATACTACGTATTCCTTAGTTCTCAAAGTCTAAGAAGAGCGCTCGCTGTGAAGTGGGTGGGAGTAGAATGTGATTGACTAAGCCTGAAACGAAGGTTGATACAGGTTTCTAAGGTCATCTGGAATGACAAAAACATATTACTGATGCATGACAGCAAGGATACTAGTAATGTACGGCACCACGAGAGGGAACGTTTTGATCCAAAGAATCAGCTGCCAATTGTGAAACTTGGCGGAGGCTTGATAAGGTTGCCTTGGAAAAAAGTGGGACCACGCTACACGACTGAGGTAGCGATGAAGGCAGACGTTTGCTGTCATGTTTTGGAAGGTGTCATGTATCCGTAGGCATGGCTGCCGCCCGACCTGACTTTGTCTGTCGGCAGAGCAGCGACTCAAAGCATCGGGCCTCTCACATGCAGGAGTGGTTTCGACAGCATGGGGTGCTTTTAAAAGACCAGCCAGGCCAGACTCTTGAGCCAAACATTACAGAACCACTAGGGGAGGACCTACAAATTCGTATGTCAATGAAAGAGCCACGAAAAGACGGGACTACAGAGAGAGACCCCACTAGAGAGTGAGTTCATTAGTTGACCCCGCATTCAAATCCAGTTTATGTATCCAATACTTTAGAGAGTTCTGGGCAATGTGCTAGACTTGCTTAATGTTAGTGACTGTTTACTTGACTGTTCTGTTGGGTTATACATTATTTAAATCAAATAAACGGATCAAGTGATCTTTCACCTGCCTTCATTAATTTCGAAAAATCTAAAATTTTCTAAACCCAAATTTGAGCTGAAGGTTGAAATTCTCTAAGTGG